TCCCACCCCTTGAGCAATGAGTAGGGAAAAGCCTGGGACAGTGCAGGCAGGATGGGAGTTTACACCCCTCCCTAATCAGAGTGTCCTGCTGGGACCTGCCATGCCCCCCACATTTGAAAACCCCTACTATTGTGAAACTTGGGACACTGAATACACGAGACACCGCAGGCATTTTAGTTAAAGTGGCTCCCAAGAGCCAGTCTAGTTAAAACACCGCCACCCCAGAGCATGTGTATAGATGCCCATGGATTCTAAAGCTGACTTAGACTTTTAGTTTTGCTTCCTGAAAACTTTACTTCTTTTTTCTCCAAGTATAATAGAATTGCCGCGTGGCAATTCCTTGTCCCTGGAGCTGAAGCCACACCCTAAAGCACTGCATTTCTGCTTAGTTCATCATGAAAAACTACGAGGAAGGTCACAAAGTTAACAAAAATAAAGTGTTCTTGGCACAGTGAAGATACATGAGGCACCTTGATCTGGATTGAAAACCAAAAAGCCAAAGGAAAACCTCTTCCTTTGGTTTACAAACCTGCAGATTGAGGGTCTGAACCTTGGCAAAACACGTTTTTGGTTTTTTTGTTTTTTAAATCTTTTAAAGATGCAAGTTGTCCATTTTTTGCTGCTGTTCTTGCTGTCGTCATTGTTGTCATTTCTAATGGTGCCCAATTTAAATCTTCATGGCTTTAGTTAATTAGGTAGTGCATTTCTTTGCCTCAAACACATGCAGGGCTCTTTATAGCCGTACACTAGGCAACTGACAAAAAAAAATGAGTACTCATCTAATTTACAGTGCCTGAGGCTCTTCCTGTTGGTATTTTTACTTCTTCCCTCCTACTCACATTCTGGGCCTTCTAGATCACTTTATTCCTCTTTTTAACTCCTCCCTCTATACATTAATTTACCAATCCCTAAAGTTAGCAGTTACACTGTGGATAATAAATGCAGTTAGCTAGCTAGCATTGTGTTGCTGTTGAACTGAAATTCAGGAAGTTAAAAAAAAAAAAAAAAAAAAAAAGGAGAACTATGGATGGCTGAGGAAGGAAAACAAATATTTATGGATGTAGGCCAAGGTAGGGGTTTTTTTTTTAATACCATGCAGTTGTAAACCAATTAATATGAACTTATTTCTGTGAGCTAAAAGATGCATCCCTGTGTGTGCTCTGTGTTTGCAAGCATAGATTTTAAGTAGCCCTTCCTGAGGAACAGTTAGAAGTGGACTGTGTCACTGATTAGTTAAATGGGCATCATTGACCAATGCTATTGAAATACATGTCACTGAATAAGTGTTGAAAAAGCATTTGACTTTTTTACTAAAATAAAACCGTTGCGTGTTAGATTTTTCACAACATCTGCAGTCTGGGTATATTTAGACACATGTCTAGTAAAGCAGGTTTATGTTATTAGTGGAGTACTCTGGGTTTTTTTGCTTTTTGGGCAAGGTTTTAGGAACTGGTTTGAATCCAAGGCTGGCAGTTCCCAGAAGTTAACATAGACTACATATTCCCAGAATTGATGTATATATTTTTAAATATTATGGAAAACAATCCTGGGACAAGGTATTGTCTTGCCCTTTCAATTCAAGCTCTGAGCACACCTTATAAACACTGAATATGCTCTATTAACTATGCCAGGATAAATTACTCCTCCTGACAGGTGATTCAGTAGCAGACTTGGATAAAAATAGGACTACTAGTTCGAAAAATTACTTAGATTTTTAAGTAACTTTTCAGCCCCCAGCAAACATTGTGTTGCCCCAAGGATGAATGTTTCCTTGGACAAGAGTGATAAACAAAGCACAATAAATGTGAAAAATGCTCCTCCCACACACTGAATTGATACGCAGATTAGCCTAAAGCAAGGATGTTAAACATGTGGCTGGTGGGCTGGATCCGACCCATGAAACCTTTTTTTCTGGCTTGCTGGTAGTCTAGACTATCAGAGATTGTGGGGCATGGCTTGTTGTCGAATTTGGGGTCCCTAGATTCTGCTGGACATGGCAATCACTGGCAAACCCCTGGACATGTGCTGCTACCCAACCATAGCCCTGTTTCACTGCCCACTTCTGGACCCATGCTGCAACCTAAACATGGCCCCATGACATTGCATGTCCTCAGACCCATGCAGCTGCCCAGTCCTGGACTTGTGCTGCCTCTGTGCTGTTGTCTGTGTGTGGCTCTGAGCTCCCAAATGTAGCTCCATCCTGCTACCTGGGCCTAGGCCTATACTGCCTCCTGAATGCAGATCCATGTTCCTGCCCAATCATGGCCTACCGCAGTTTTTTGTTGGTGGTATGGATCTGGCCTGGGAGGAGCCCCTGCAGTCAAGATTGAGCCCAGGCTGAGTTTGACACCTCTGTCTGTAGTTTAAATGAGTCTTACTGGAATTCTGTGTTTCATATTGATAATACCAAAAGGTCACTTTGCCAAGAAGCACTTTATGCTATTTCTGTGTATTATGGGTGCATCTGCTTTTATACTATGGCTTTAAACACTGAATAAGACTGGCCGCTTCTGGTGGAGTATTACAGGTGGCACACTTGTTGCAAGATTTCAGTGGTTCCATGTACTAGGAAAGAACATCTCAGACTTGAATATCTCCTGAGACACTACAATGCTAGTCCTGAAGACATTTCCGCACATATGAATGAACCTATTGTAGCCATTGGGATTTCAACGTGACTTAAATTAATTGCATGGGTAAATGTGCATACATGATCACACCTGAAATTTGCCTTCTGGAAAACATTTAAACTGAAGGAATTTAGTGACAGACTCACTTGACCAAGAAAAAAGTATACTGAACACTTAATCCAACTGTTTTGATTCAGATGTGTTATACTGCATGTTAGCTTGCATTGATTTCAAACAAAAGTAGCATATTTATGATCACAGAATCATAGAAAGTCATGTTGAAAGGAACCTCAGGGATCATCTAGTCCAACCCCCTGCTCAATGCAGGACCAGCCCCAACTAGATCATCCCAGCCAAGACCTTGTCTACCTGACTCTTTAAAACCTCCAAGGATGTAGATTCCACCACCTCTCTGGGTAACCTGTTCCAGTGCTTCACTACCTTCCTAGTGAGAGTTTTTCCTAATATCCAACCTAAACTTCCCTTACTGCAACATGAGACCATTGCTCCTTGTTCTGTCATCTGCCACCACTGAGAACAGTCCAGCTCCATCCTCTTTGGAACCACCCTTCAGGTAGTTAAAGCTTGCTATTAAATTCCCCTTCAGTCTTTTCTTCTCCAGACTAAATAAGCCCAGTTTCCTCAGCCTCTTCTCAGAAGTCATATGCCCCAGCCCCCAAACCACTTTCATTGTCCTCCCTGTTAGGAAGCTTTTTCAGTGTTTGCTTTGTTCTGGATCTTAAATTATTTATCATTCATCCTCTCTTCGGTGGGAAATACTTTAGGAAAGCTTTTGTGAGAGATTTTGCTTTTATTACTTTGCAACTGAAGTTAAATCAGAGTCCAAAATTAGGACCTAAACTCAGACTACAGCACTGTTTACCTAGATGTATACCTGACCTACCCAAACTGTTTATTACCCAATACCTCCCACTGACCTCATGAAAGACTCCTTTGAAAATTAGCTCCAGCTGTGATTGGCTTCTTTTATTAAGAGGTTCTTGTTAAATTGGTAAGGTTGCAGGAGGAGTTGGTTGTGGGATGTTCACTGAGGGTCAAATATCAATTGAATGAGATGGAAGAGTGAATGATACGGCATTTCAGGCACTACATCAGATGTTGTATATACCATTTAATCTCTTCTAGTTTGGATTTCTATACACTGCATTGCCAACCTCAGTATGAAATGGCACAAATCTTTGTGGTGATTGCAGAGCCATTTTTTCTGATACAATGCTAATTTTAATTTTGAAAAGGGAAAATGAGGCAGTGATAAATGGGGTGTGATGTATTTAATTAAAACTAAATTTTAACAGATCTCAACAAGTTGTAGAGGATTATGCTTCTGGAGCTAGTCACAAAAATACATTAAGACTTTTTAATTTCCTGCTAGCATGTTATAATCATCAATATATTTTTTGATAGAATGATGCTCTGTATGTGGGTTTTTGTTTTTTTGGTTGGTTTTGCATTAAGCTTTCTTCATGCAAGGAAAATAACATATCGGCCTCTCTACTTGGCAAAAATCACATCCTGTTGGAAGAATCTATAATAGCAAGCTTTTTTCAGATGCTTATAATAGACTGCTTGGAGAATGAAATAAATTGTTAAATGAGAAAATGCCATTACTAAGACTTGGTACTTGCCTTTTCATTTTTCTATTAGCTTGGGTTATCTGACAGGGATGCCTATATGTAGATCTAGGTAAGCCAGTATGCTAGTTTGACAGAAGTAATTGTAGTGACTAGGGGTGTGCAGCGCTCAGGGCAGATCGGCCTGTGCGGGTCTCTTTAGCACTGCGTGGGGCCCGTGGGACCACTGCAAAGGCAGCGCATGGGCTGGGTCTTCCCTGTGCCTGGGCGGGGGTGGGGGTCTCTGCACTGCTTTTGTGGTGTGGGGCAGAGCCACCAACACCAGGCGGGCCCCATGGGAGGGGCCACAGCCGCTCAACCTGGCTCTGCAGGGCCCCCCAAAGTGTGGGGCCTGGGGTGGTTGTCCCGATTTGCCATACCCTAGGGACAGCCCTGGTAATGACCAAGCAAAAGTTGTTCTCTTCATTTGCATATCCAAAGCAGCTAATGCTAGCTGATTCAGAAGCATTTTGGTGATCTCTTAATGTGACAACATAGCATCTTTTTTTTTTTTTTTTTTTTTTTTTTAAATAAAGCCAACTTATTACTGTTTGGCTAAATAAGAATACATGTCTAGGACAAGACACTGTTTACTGTGAAATCTGGGACTGCCTTCTAAAAAACAAAAATTATATGTGGCGGTGAAATAAAACATACTTTACGTTTAATAATAAGCATATACGTTTAATAATCCCTGTAACTGGCCATCATTTATGCTTTGTTTTATTTTATTTTACAGGCAGCAGCGTCTGTCCAAAGATCCTTATAACTGCTAAGTCTTGTCCAGCAAGCAACACAAACAGACTAGTCAAGCAGAATGCATGCAGTGAAGCGGCTCAGGGAATAAATGGAAGCGTGCCAGTTAAACAGTCCCCATGTTCAGCTTCTAATCCAAAGCCACAAGGTAAATACAGACCCAAATGCTTTGTTTCGGTGGGTTGCTCTGCAGCTAGTAGTTCACACACATTTAAAAAAGAAAAGGGAAAAAAAAACCCTGTTGAAGTAACTGTCTATCTGAGGGCCTGGACAGATGACAGCATTATCCCACTATAATGGTATCAAAAAAGCAGCAGACAAATGATAAAAAATCCTAAACCAAAGTAACTTCCTATGATCTGGTGGAGAACCAGAGGTAAAACAATGAAAGTTATACTGATTTACATTTTGTCTGTATATGTCCATCCTAGGTAGTCATTTGTTAAATGCTGCCTGTTCTTCCGCCATGATGATGAGATGCTATATGTAACTTCCTACTGTGTGTGACCCACCCTGAGGTAGCTCAACATCTGTCCATTCTTGATCCTAATTTAACCTATATCAATATACAGAACTGATGTAAATGATAGAGTGTATCTTTCTGTCTGTGATCTAATACAAGAAAAACACCAAAATAAAAGAGCACAAATGAAAACAAACATGTTGTGTATTGTTTTACTGAATCTTAGGAAAATAAGGCTGGAAAAAAACCTCAGGAGGTCCTCAGGTCCACCCCCTGCTCAAGACAGGATCATCCATATCTAATCCATCCTATCTAATATGCTTATATAGCTTCTTGTGAAGTGATACCAGATCATCTCCAAATGGCTGCATGGCAATGATTTTTAATCACTATGACATGCACAGTATTTAAATAATGAAAAACTGTGCCCACAACAACTCTGAGTAAGGATGCTTGGGCTGCTGCAGACTTAAGAGATCTATGTAAACTTTTTTCCTCCTAATGCACTATGACTTTCTTTGCATCTATGGGCAAGCAGTTCCTCATTTGGCCCAGACAGTGTTTGTTGAGAGTGAGTTCAACAGCAAGCCCTCTTGTATGTTAAAATAGTAGCAATGGTATTTTCCAAGTGGAGTCCTGCTTTTCATGAGCTAAAAGGATGTGAACTTATATCTGACCTAAACCAGTGGTGCTCAACCTTTTGGCCGTGCAGGCCAGTGAGTGGCACAGGAACTGTCTGTTCAAGATTGAGTCTTGGGGTCTAGTATTGCCTCCTCTCTGCCCCGTGCTCTGAGATTGGATCCCAGGGGCTGACTCTGCCATCTCCTGCTTGCCATGTGCTGGGATTGGGCCTGGGGGGCCCATGTTGCCCCCTCTCCTGTCCCTCAAACCAGAATTGGGCCCTGCAGACCAGCACCACGCATGCCCTGCCCTGCATGTTGGAATCTGGCATTAGATCCAGAGCACAGGTCTCAGGGTTCCCCATGGGTCCAGAGACTTGGTAACCAGGAAGTAGTGCCACCATGCCCTCACTGCCAAATTCTCGGACCCATGGAGTCTCTTGGGCTGGATGACATGGCATTGTAGGCCATAACTGGCTTGCAGGCCAGAGCTGCACAACTCTGATTTAGGCCATGCAGTTGAGTAAAAAGACTAGTGGTAAAATGAGTCTTTCAGGGTCTGACAGAGCTGGAGGAGGAGCTGCAAAAGTACATTTCCCTCATTCCTAACAGGGAATTATGCATTCACTACAGATAGCTTTTCTGGTTCAAGTTGAGTTAGGACATCTAACGTCAAGTCAAGTTTTGCTTTGTTTTGTTTTTTAAATCTATACTTTAATATAAAAAATCATAGCCAGGAATGGTTTTACTGAGACACACATTTGTTCATGGTTTAAATGTTGCATCTGCTGATAGTAACCAAAAACCATTGTCACCTAGCTGTTTGGAGACCATCTGTTTTAGTCAAGTATGTGACTATGCTTAAGTATCAGAATGCCTAAAATTTAGGTGCTGAAAACTTAAGTGATCCAAATTGATGCCCCAGATCTATAGCCTGGTACTTAGGGCAGTTAGAAAACTGGATCTGTAGATTTGAATCCCCTCATCTGAGGGTTTGTAATCCAGATCTCCCACTTTCTTGATCCAGGAGTGCTCAGCCTCTGGTCCACAGGGCTCTCCCTGGGTCTGAAAATTTGGCAGCAGGGGAGAGGTGGCAGCATTAATTGCCACAGCTTCCAGAACCAGATCTGGCATATAGAGCCAGATGTGACATGTGGGATCCATGCTGCATGAGGCCTGTGGACCATCCCCACCCACAGGATTCAGCCTACTGACTGGCCCCACACCACTCATTCAGCCTGTGGGGCTGAAAGGAGAAGGACCATGGCTCTAATCATTATGCTATTGTGGAAAAGCAGGGCACCACCACAGTTTTTGAGCTAAACTCAGTGCTGTTTTGCTGAAGTAGATGTGCCGAAGTCTTTGTAAGCTTAGGGAACTTTGCAGTCCAAAATAGAAATGCCTACTGAGTTTTGTGGTTTGTGGTTCATGGTTAAGCTTCTTCATTCTTTGGAACTTAAGTGCCTGAATTCTACTTAGATCAAGTTTAGGGGACTACAAAACCAACTTGGATCTTGCCTTGGCCTCCAATTAAGAAACAAACTAATTTCCGTTTGCTTTCTAAGGCCCCTGCTACATGTTATGTACATTACGCAATTAACTGGTTAACTGCACAATAAATTTAGATCAGCCACACATGCAAAGTAATTATCACATGAAAAAATGACTGTCCAGTTATAAAAAGAGTCTGCCAGCTATAAAGTTAGTGCTTGAAAATGAGCAACAACTCTATAGCTGGTTTCTATCTAGCTTCAAATTGAATGTGTAGCAAGGCCTTAATAGACCCATGCCTTCCTCACAGGAATTCCCATTGCAAGCAGCACTAATTGAAAAATATAATGTCTTTTGCCTGTGCTGTCCCTAGCCTGGAGATAAATACAATGTTCATTCTTTGCAGTAGTGTTCCGTTACACTTCACCCTGCAGTTAGAGGGGAAAGAAATCTATAGGGGTTCAGGACGAGACTTGTTTTATTTATGAAGCACAAGATCAAAATAAAGCTGTGATCTTATTTATAGAACTCTTGATAAAACATTCTTATTTACAGTCAACAGTACTAAAAGGCATGTATAAACATTGTCCAGCTAAATGGCCTCTCTATACTGTTCAATGGCATCCTGTTGTAACTTATTCTCTGAAAGAAGGCTAACCATAATATTGTAACCATATCTTTTTTGAAAACCATCTTTTTTCCTAAGAAAAAACATAAATCTTTACTAGTGGGTGAAGAGAGAATAAGCAGCCTGATTTTAATAACATACTGTAGATTTCAGAGCCTTTTAACTTTTAGAGAGCTGTTGTATGATATTGAACATGATTCATTCAAGTGGTTTTGCTGCTCTTTTATCAGTCTGCTGCCTGCATTTGAGAAATACCTACTTCAGAAAGTTGCACTTGCAGGAATGTTTGTAGGCTGAGAAGCAATTAATTTCTCAATGCAAAATGGATTTTGTACCACGTTTTTTGGCATGCCTGAGTGTGTTATCTTCTGTATGTTTCTCTCTCGGAAGGCAGGGATTTCTTAGGGTGATATTTTTTATTGGACCAACTTTGTAGTTGGGATAGAGTTAGACACACTTTTGAATGCAGGTCTGACTGGAAGGTTTCTCTCTAAATACATGCAAAGACTGAAACTTATCTAATTCAGGATTTTTGTGTGAGCCTTGTCTGTGATTTAAATGGGCAGAGCAGAGTAAGGAATTTATGTATACATTTATGTGAGCCAATTACACTGGTTGGGTTGCTCATGTTAGAAGTTTGGTTTCTTACTGTTTAGGGGTGCACAGATAGCCAATTTTTAAGGAGGCATGTCAGGTGATACCGATCTGATTTTCGATAACCAGCTGGTAAGTTTGGTGTGGTGGAAGGGGAGGGGGGAGGGAAGGGGCTGAGGTGGCAGATCACAGCCCCCGCAACGAGGGAGGAGTGGTGCAGGGCCTGAGGCAAGCACTACCCAGCCGGGGTGGGGTAGGCAGGGCACAGAGCTGCCGCTCATCTCAGGGGGCGATGGGAGGGTGGGGTGGCTCCCACTGCTGCGTGTGGCTCAGCTGGGAGCTGCTGTTCCAGCAGCTTGTCCAGCACTCGCCTGCTCGTCCAGGAGGGCATGGCAGGAAAGGGCATGTGTCCCTGGATCTGTGTGGGGCAGGGCAGGCTGGGGCTGGGCAGCACCAAGCTCTTTGGGCCAGGGCAGGGCTGCACTGGGAAGGGAGCTACGGGAGGGGATTGCAATCACAAATTTGCTGTAGCACCTTCCCAGCACAACCCTGCCCCACCAGGAAGAGCTTGGTGCACAGATCCAGGGGCATACCCCCTCCCCACCCAGATACCCTCCCGGACAAGCAGTGGGAGTCGCTGGATGAGCAGGCAAGCGCTGGATGAGCTGTCAGACCAGTGGCTTCTGGCTGAGCGGTGTGAAGTGGCAGGAGCTTCCCCCTGGACAAGCTGCAGCTCTGCCCTGTGCCCACTCCTCCCCAGCTGGGCAACGCTTGCCCCAGCCCCTGCCCCATTCCTCCCTCATCGTGAGGGCCTTGATCTGCCACCCCAACCCCTTCCCTCCCCCCTCCCCTTCTACCACACCAGACTTACCAGCTGGAGGCAGCTCTCCATGCTGCCAGGCTGTGCTCCTCACTGCCTATGCTGCACTGTGGCTGTGCGCATACACGGGCCATTTATCAGCCAAATTGTTGGCCTGATATGGCCGATTTCCAATATGGAAAATTTTCTTTATATTGGTGCCGATCCAATATCAGACCAATGTATTGGTGCACCTATATTACTGTGGTAGCTTTAGCTGACAGGTATTGTACTTTTATTTATTTTAAAATACCAGCAGAAAAAGTTTTCCATATGGTTTTTTGGGAGGCTGCTTTAGTCTTGCAAACCTTAAATCTCCCTTTTTATTGAAAGGAAATAAAATCACAAATGTAAATTCTAGAGCCAGGTTTTTTTGGTTGTTGATAAATTAATGTTATTTAATGATTAATTTAACTGGCTAATATTTAGGAAATAAAATGAGATAAAAAGAGAGAGATGAAAAGAGACGTGTGATATATTTCATCAATATAGG